GCCCCAGCTGCCGCCCGCCGGCTCGCCGCCGGTGCAGCCGCGATGCCGGGGAGCCCGACCCCAGCCCCAGCCCGAGGTGCGCCGCACAATTAGCCCCCGTGCGTGCGCTGCCGCCAACGCCGCGCCCGGGACGCAGCGATGGGCAACACGGTGCACAGGACCCTTCCAGGTATGCTGGGGACCCCTTCTCAAGAGGCGGACGGATGCAGGGGTTCTCCCCTTCCCCAGGGAGCCTGCTGGCGACTCTGAGAGAGCCCGCCCCTCCTTGAAGCTCTGTGAGCGCAGGGGGTTGGAGTCTCCCGTGTCTCTTGGAACCTGGCTCTGCGCGCTCTATTCCTGGGCTTTTGCTCTCTGCGAGGGCGGATACCGCGTCCTGGTTACCTTGGGGACCCCTCGTCCTCACTGTCCTAGCTTTGGCCAGATGCATTAATGGGTCGCCTGGCAATGCCACGCACCCCTTTGCCTTTGTTCCAGCCGGAGGGCGCTGAGGTGGGAGTCCGGGGCGCTTGGGGGGTGGGGTGACGGGGGTGACTGTAGCTTGATTGGCTCTGACTTCCGACGGCCGGAATCGCCCAACTACAGCAGCTGAGAGTCTGAGGTGCTCACAGGGGACCTTAGTTTCCAGCTGCCTGGCACCCCTATGGCACATGCTCCCTTGCTTGGCGGTGTTTCTATGAGCACCCGGCTGCGCCCCCCTCTGGTGTCCACTCAACTAGGGGTTCTCCAGGCCCTCTGAGTCGCTGCTTCAAGGCACAGTGCCCCTCGGAATTTCCGGGGTGGAGTGATGAAATGCAGAGAAGGGGAGTGGAGTGGGAGTGGGGAGGCAAGAGATCTTTATAGAAAATACCAGGTAATTCTGAAACTGATCATCCCTGTCTGTGCTGGGTACTTTGCGTACCCTAACGTGATAAGCGGTTATCTCCATTTCACAAATGAAAACGTGGGTTTAGAGAAGGGAAAGGATTCACCCAAGGTCATACTAGTAGGGAGACTACACTGGCACCCTTGTATGTATGTGTCTGTTAACCTCCTCCGGCATCTCGCTTTCCTCCCCTTCCCCCAGTCTTGAGGCTAAGTATTTTGGCTTAGGGCTGGGCATCTGTAGCATCCTTCGGATAGAAGGTGAAAAGTGTCTGTGTTCAAAAGCCCAGCTCACTGGGGAAGCAAGTCAGCTATGAGGCAACTTTAACATGCGGTCTTAGAAGGAGAAGGACATACCATCTCTGTAATGAGAGAGGTAGGATTGGAGAGGAGAGACACATCACTCACTCACTCTCTCTGCGCTAACACTCCCACATAGTCCTCCCTTCTAGCAGTTATATATGCAGCTATGGGGTGGGGGGGGGACGACCCAAAACAACAAACACCTCTTACATACCCTAATGAGCACTGAAGTAGACAGGTGCTGAATCCTGGATCTGAAGACCAGTTACAGAAAAAGGTTAACTTTCTGTTTGAACCTCTGGACAGTGTTTAAGGCCCCTACACCTAAACCTCTGAATTCTAAGAAAGGATATGTTACTAGTAGAGGGACTGCAACTAGCCAGTGGCAGACATAGGATCTGAACCCAGGTCTGCTCAAGGCTTGCATGGGGAAGGTCCCATACACCCTGAAAGTGTTCAGGGAAACTGGCAAGTATGAAAATATGGCCATAGGCATTCTCCCAGCCACAAAGGCACTGGGCCAAAGAATGGACTCCTTTGGAGGATTTCTTAATTAAAACATGTTTCTGCTGTTCTGGTTAAAAAAAGAAAAAAAATCTGCTACCTGGGGATCAGTCTTGGGTAGATGAAGAGACAGGCATATGCCAGGTGGGCTAAATGTAGAAGGTTTTTTTCAGTCTCTGTCCCACCCAACCCTCACTGTGGGCTGGGAACCTGGGATTAACACCATCAGTTGCATACTGCAATAGCCAAGTATGGGAAGTTAAAATTTGAAGGAGACAGACTGGAATTCCTGAGCCCCATCAGGTCATAGGGGACAAGAATGTGAAGAGTGAAGGACTATTAATTCTTCTCTGACCTGCCTGTGATCGTCTTCTCCCACACACTGTGTTGTTGTGCACACTTCTGTACTTTACGCCTGTTATTTCCTCATCTGGAAAATCTTCCCCTGTCTAATTTATGTCTTACAGTTCAGCTCTGTTGTCACCTCCTCCCTGAAGCCTTCCTTGACCACTCACACAATCTAGTCTACCCTCTACTCTGTCCCCTGGGTAACTTCTACGTCTCTGCTTGTCCATCAGGCCACATTCCCTACTGTTACTTCATGACTCACCTTGGAATTCACTGACAACAGAGCCCTGTCTTGATCACCCTCCTATTCCTGATTGCCCAGCACAGGGCCTGGTGCCTGGCAAGGACTCAGAACTGGTGGTGGAGCTCAACTGTTGCCTGCATCTGAAGCTGAAAGAATGCTTGGCTCAATCTTGCCCTGTATAAAAATCCTTGTGCTTTCAACCTCAGGAAAAGGACACATGCGTGGGGTTTGTTCTGCGGGACTTGAAATAGAGAGCTGGCATTTGCCGAGCACCTGGATTCCGTGCCAGGCTTCCTGCATATGTGGCTGCGTTTACACGCCAAGCATGTGTCTCCTTAAGGCCCCTGCACTTGCTGGTCCCTCTGCCTGGAATATTTTTCCCCCAGATTTTCACATAGTTCCCTCCCACTCCTTACAGTGTTGTGCTCCAATGCAGGTCTTGCCATCACCCCTGCCCCTAGCATGCCTCACCCCTTTTGAGAGTTTCTCTTTAGCAAGTACCACCACATGACATCCTGTCATGTGTCCTGTCTGTCTCCCCCAGGTGGGGTTCTGCCTGCTTTGTCATCGGTTCTCTGTTCAGCAGTGCCTAGCTCACAACACATACCGTACTCGCTGCCATCTCACAGTGACCCCAAATCGAGTAAACCCTAATAATAGCCGACTGCTCAGCTTTCACCCTAGGAGCCACTGGTGAATTAGAACCACCAGAGATGCAACCTGTTGGTTAGCTACGCAACGCTCTAGACCATACCATCAGAGCTAGTTAATGAGCTAGTTAACTGTTGTTTGCCTTTGAAGCAGAGCTGACTCTGCAGTGGGTATACAGAGACAGTAAAACACAAGGGAGGAGATTGTCCTTCCTTCTCCTGCAGAACAGTTGGGGGATTCGAACCGCGTGTCTGAGATTGCAGTGCAGCTCCTTACCACTAGGCCACTGGAGCTCCCTGTCTAGTTAATGGATATTTCATTAATTCCAGTCTTTCAATAGCCCTGCAAGGTAAGCCATCATCCACATTTTACAGATGAAGAAACTGAGGCTCAGACCAATCGAGTAACTTGTCCCAGCTCCTAGCACTTATTCACTTGGCAGAACCAGGATTAAAATGCAGGTTTATTTAGCTCCAAAGTCCTGAATTTTTTTTTTCTCTGACATCCAGTGGCCTCCCAATCTGTAATTGAGATAACATTTACTGTGTGCCTGCTGTGCACATTGGTATGTTATTGTGTACAATAAGGAAATGCCAAAGAGAAGGTCCTTTACATTCAATTGTAGGGAAGTGCTTGCAAAATATATCAGCAAACTCAAACAAATGCCTTATGAACCGAAGTGTGCAGAGGTCAGTGTGAGAGCTTGCGTTTGCTAAGTTCCTTCTGCATGCTTTTCACCTATTTTTTCAGTTACCACTCAGGCCTTTGAAGGTAGGGCCACCTTCTCCACTTCACAAATGAGACGGAGGTACAGAGAGGTCAAGACACTTGCCCAGATTCTCAGTAAGGCAGTAATAGAGCTATAGCCTTAGAAGACTCAGGACTGTCTGAATTCTATTATCAGGTATCCCCTTTCTTTCAACTTCATTAGCTTTCAGCCAGGATTTATAAAAAAACAAACAAAAATCATGTGAACAGGTGGGAGTAGGTAAGGGGAGAACATTCCAGGTCTTGGGACATGGAGGGAGGGACTCCTTTTTTCCCGCCAGCATTTTCCAGCCTTTTCCCTCCACGCCTCTAGGACTCACACTGGTCTTTCTGGTTGGTGAAGAGACCAAATTCAAACTGCAAGTTGAGTTTAATCATTAAGTCAGTCCATACTTGGCCAAGTCAACAGTCTGGCAGCCTGGAGTTTTGCCATAAAGAGACTGTATCGCTCCTGCTCTGTGCCAGCTCTGGGTCATGGGTGTTGCCCATGCCATCTTTAAATCTTCATAACTTTGCCCTCCTTTTACAGGAGAACAAACTGAGGCACAGAGTAAGGAGGGGAAGTGTCTTCTAAAGACTGAGTTCAAGATGGGATACACCCATCCCTCCCTCGGACAAACAACCTACCCTTTCTTTCTCTGACCTGTGTGGATGCTGCGCCTCAGTGGGTCAGATCTAGTCCGCTTTGGGTAATGGGTGAAGCTCCCATTTCCTGCCTTCTGGACTTGCTTGATTCTGGGATGGGGAGGAGGAGGTGGCCGGCCAGTGGCATCCATAATTCATACAGCAACAATTGAAAGTTATTTGTGCTACTTTGCCTTATCTTGCCCCATCTGTCTTTCCTCTACCAGACCTTAAAAGAATGACCTTTATGGCATTGGCATTGAGCAAAAGGTCTGAACCAGGCCTCTCCAAATAACAATACCTCTCACAGCTCCAAAACCCTTCCAGGCTGTCAGCAAGGTTTCAGAGGCCTGACTAGTCCACACTTACTGAAAACAGACTGCAAAGATGCTGTGCCATGTCCAGGCTGGGGACATGGGAGCAATGTGGTCTTATCCATCAGTAGAAGTGGGAAAGAGGGAAGAGGGTTTGTCTAGAATGGAGAGGTTTCCCATGGAGAGCTTGGAGCCTTCATCTTTATGCTCTTTGGTACCTGCCTCTGCTCCATTTTCTCCTCTGCCCCCTTAGCAAAAGAAGAGGGATCTCAGAGACGGTAGGAGTCCAGGAAGGCTTCCTGGAGGAGGTGAAATATGAAAGGAAATCCAGTGGAATGTCTGTTCCTTCTGCTTTCAGAATATTCTTTGGCTTAGTCACCCTATGGTCACCCTGATTTCCATTTAAGTACATTTTCTTGATTTTTCTGCCTGACTTCACTTACCTGATAACTCTGGGGTACCTTTTGTACCAGGAACTGGGGAATGTAGCTGTGAAGGAGATGAAGCTGCCCTCCTGCAGCTGTCTACCTGGTGGGAGAGTGCAATAGGCTTAATTCAAAAGAGACCCATGACTAAGTCATTGGGGGAAACAGGGTACCCTTATCCTCTGCCTCAGAGGAAGAGGGGTCAACGCCCAGGGCCCAGACAAGCCAGCCACCAGGTCAAGTAATTTCTAGTGGCTCATAATTGGTTGATGTTTTTGTTTTGTTTTTCATTAAATGACATAGAATAGAATAAAATAATAAGAAAATACTGGGATGCAGTCATGTAGAGAGTATTTTTGCTTGGCAAACTTTGGTTCAGTTGTCTGTGTGTGTGTCAATGTAAAATGTATTCCTTTCCATGGGTTACAGCCAAAGCAATTGTGAGTTGGAAGGCCTCTGCTCTGCAGCACTGGGAGGTCTGGGTCGGGGTCCAGCACACAGACTTTGAGTCAGGCTGCCTGGGTTCAAACCTTAGCTTTGCCGTTTGCCCATGCTGTGGCCTGGGGCTAGCGCTTGTCTCTCTGGTTCCGTTTCTGCACTGGTATAAAGAGAGGAGGAGGGGGCAGCCCGCACACAGCTGGCAGTAGTAAAATGAAGGGAAAGACAGCAGCAGGCTGTTTAGCACAATTCCTGGGGTTTCCCAGCAGGTGCATTTCACCCTCGGCCTTGAGAGGTCCTGTCGCAGGTGGCCACAAGCCTCCAAGAGCCTAGGTGGGGAGATAGATGCCCTTTCATTTACATAGATGGTACTACTCCAGAGTTCCCTGAGAATCTACTCAACTGGCTGTTTGTTGTAGTTTCTACTTGTTCAAACCTCCAGGCTGGGCTTGGGGCTGAGCCTGGGGACACAGCCTGGGCGAAGGGCCTCAAGGTCTGGTGGGAAAGGCCAATGAAGAACATGGAGTTACATTAAGTGGGGAGCACTAACTCTCACAGGAGGAGCTAGGAAGGCTTCCTGGAAGAGGTGCTCACTAGCTGAGGCCAGAAAACTAGGTAGGAGATGGGAAGGGAAGTGTTCAGAGCAGAGGTCTGTGTCCCAGCAGGTATCCTGGGGGTCCCAATTCAAGCGAGAGTAGCATGCAGGGGCAGCTGCTGGGCGGAAACCAAGTGAGGGTTCTGGTAGCCAAACTGGAGGCTGGAGGCTTGGATTTCTCTGCTGCCTTCTCCCCACAGCGGTAATGTACAGTGGTTTTGCCAGCAGGAGCAAAGCATTTTCTCTGGACCTGGCGGCCAGGACAGTTCAGAACAACCGCCTGTTTCATCTTTTCGCTCTACCCCTCTTTTGGACCAAAAGGCTTTCTGTACTTCGTGGTGCTGCCTGAGGCCTTAAAATAGCAGCCCAGAAGGCCAGGCAGCGAGTGTGGTTAGAACTGAGCTCCGGGAGGGAACGGGAGGATGCTCTCACCAAGGGTTTCCAAGCTTAGGACTGCAGCTTGCTTGTCGCCGCACCACACCCTTTATCCATTCCATCGCGCATTTCAATCCTGGAACATTTCTCCCAGAAGTGTCCCTAATTTACAGAGAAGACAACGGAGGCCAAAAGGGGTAAACCAGTGACCTGCCCTAAACCAGGTGGCCAGGAAAGAGCAGAGCTGGGAATTTGGGCCCAAACCCCTTCCCCTCCTTCACCCAAAGAGCTGCTCCCCTTCTCTCAGCTTGCTGTGGTGTCCTCACTGCGGACGGGACGCCCGGGTGGGGCTCACTGGTGTCAAGTGGCCCCTCCCGCAGATGCAGTTTCTTTACCCTGCAAAGATGAATGGTTTCTGTCCTCAGCAGCCAACACGAAGCTGCCCACGGGAAAGGTCCACCCCACCCCACCCCGGCCGGCCTGTAGACTCAACAGGGTGGGGGTGGCCTCCAGGAATCCTGTGCTGGAAAGGAAGGGTGATCTCCAGCAGCTCTGAGTGCTCCCCACCCCCAATGCTTGTAGTAGCCCAGGCTCCTGATTTGTCTGCCTTCTAAAATTCAGGGGTGGTGAGCCGCCAGCCCCCTCTCCAAACTGCAGATGCCCCAGGGCCCCCAGAACCCTCTTCCCTGAGCCCTCTGTCCTGCCCACCCAGATCACCTGCAGCCTCCAGCCCCATCACTCAGCAAAGGCACAGGGTGGTGGTGAGACTCCTTTGTCAGTCAGGACCAAGTCTATCTTTGGGGCAGGACCTAGGAGCATCCATCTCCTGTCCTGTGTTGTCTTTGTCTGCGAGCCAGTCCTTCATCTTGGCCCTGCCTCGTATCAACTGAATAATCCACTTCACCTCTCTAAGCCTAGGTTTCCTGGTCTGCAGAAAGCAAATGATGTTCCCTCTCAGGCATGCGAAGGGTCTGACAGATAGCAAGTGCTGTCACATGGCACCTGTTATGATTATGTCTTCACTGAACAGATGAGCCCCCAGCCCAGCTGCTTCAGGGCTCCCGAGAAAGGCAGACACAGAGGAATAATCACACCATTAGCTTGTACCACACAGCACTGTACCAGTGCCAGCTTATACCAGTGCCAGGCACTGCTTTTGGCAGGCAAACATGTTTGACCCTGAGGTGAAGCCCTGTGATGTAAATACTAGCATTAGCCCCATTTGGCATTCATGCAAACTGAGGCACAGAGAGGGAAAGTCACCTTTCCAAAGACACACAGCTCAGACAAGCTGGCATGACACCAGTCATCATTGATGTTAGGGGCCAGCAAGTCTGCTCTGACTTACAGTGACCCTATGTAAAACAAACTGACCCCTGGAAGGTCAGTGTGCCATCCTCCAAAATCGCTGCTGTGCTCTTGAGCCCACTGTTACCATCACTTTGTCACCAAGAAGGAAGGAATGTCTGTGAGAAGTGTTGGGATTGGGTAGAGGACTGTGTTCGTTTCCTAGGGCTGTCATCACAAATAACCATAAACTCAGTGACTTAAAACAACAGAAACTTATTTTCGCACAGTTCTGGAGACCAGAAGTCTTGAATTCTGGGGTCAGCAGAGTTGGTGCCTTATGGATGGTCTAAGGGAGAAACTGTTCTGTGCTGTTTTCTTGGCTTCTGATAGTTGCCGGCAACTGTTGGCAATTCCTAGGCTTGTAGACACATCACTCCAGTCTCTGCATGTCTGTGCACCCGTTTCTCTCTCCCTCTCCCTTCCTCTCCCTCTCTCTCCCTCTCTTCCCCCACTTCTCCCCGTGTGTGTATGTGTGTGTGTGTGTGTGTGTGTGTGTCCCCGTCCCTTTGGTCATTGGATTTATGGCCCACCCTAATCCACTATGATCTCATCCTAACTTAATGACATCTGCAAAGACCCTGTTTCCCTATATGGTCTCCTTCATGCATGCCAAGAGGAGAACTTCATTGTAACTCTTCAGGGGACACAATTCAGGCCCATTACACACCCGAGGTAACCATCCCCTTTAGCAGAAATCTGTAAGCATTTCAAAATCTTGGCTTTTTATTGTTTTTCTCATCTAGTTAATTGGTTTTTCTCCTCATTCGACCACAGAGTGGGGTGTTCTACATACATTCTGGGGACCTCAGCTGATGTCCCCTAAGATCTAATGTATGGATCTCCACCCCAGTGTAGGTTAGGGGACCAAAGACTCCTGACGACTTTCTGCACATCACAGGGTGGGGATCTGAAGGTCATATCATCTCCAGGGAAGAGAATCCTGGGGACCCCTGGAGTCTGCGCAGCTCTCGGGGATGTTGGCTGAGGCTGGGGAAGCTGACTCAGGGAAGGGTACTCTGAGCCAAACTCAGAAGCTTCAGTGTTTGAATGTCACATGGATGCAAATTTCAGCACAGTCAAAGGAAGAAATTCTGAATGGTAGAAGCTGTTAGGAAGTAAAACAAAGGCGAGTCCCCTGTCATGGGAGTGGCACTGCTATTTAACAGCTGGGGCTGCCATGAATATTACAGTCAGCTGGCATGTCTGACAGAGCCTGGGTGAATTGTCCTTTAAGGTGCCTTTTGACCCTGGGGCTTGATGGGAGTGCCAGCCAGCATGGCAGCATGGCAGGGCCCATTCACAGTCTTTCTCTGTATCCTTAGTGTGTGTGCCAGCTCTGCGTGCTGGGAGGTGCTTGGTCCCACTTTACAGGTAAGGACACTGAGGCACAAAAGATGGACTCACCTCCCAGCCTAGACTGGAGCCCAGAGTCCCCTCACCCACATCCCACAGACCTCTCAGACCCAGTGTTTCTTGGGTGACAATAGGACGATTATTCTTCAAGGCCGGTCCCAGCCCACCCTCCTGCCTCTCTTCCTTTCTTATTACTGAAACTCAGGACATTTCAGACCTGCCTTCTTTGCCTCACTTCTGGGCAGCAGGGAAAAGGTCTTTAATATGTAAGCCATTTGGTGAAGGGTGGCCCATGGTGGCCTCATCCTTTAGAGTGGGTGAAGCAGGGCTGGGGGTGTCTGGAAAGCATTGTCATTTTGGCATAATGCCCACAGTTATTAAAACGTGTATGTTGTTTATATCCTCAATATTACACACTGTTTATGTCACATTTTTATCCCCTGGGCACGTGTTTTCTTCCCTTTTTTCTGAGGCTGATGGATTTATGAGGTGGGTGGGCACACAACAAACCTGGCGTCCCGGGGCCGGAGCTGCTTGGTAACTTTCCACTCTGTAGGAGGGGATCCTCGCTCCTCAGAAGAGACGACTGACTGACTGAGCAGGAAATGGGACTGTGGAATTTAATTCCCCGTCTCTGAGGCGTGACATGTCATGACCATGCAGCATACTGCCAGCCTCAGGAGTTATTCCCCAGGACCAGGAGACGCTAGCAAGCAGAGCAGCCCTCTGCCCATTTGACGGA